AAAAAAGCAATACGTACTTTTATAACTGGTGATATGATGAATACTTGACTTCATTATGCACCTGAAAAAACTAGATAGGTTTACAAAAATGGCTCATCAGCAATGGAGGGTACGAGGAGAATGTATTCGTCGTTGATACACTTATTACACTACAATTGATTTAATATCGTTTTTATAACATAGTTTTTTATCCTGAATTAGAAGAAACCATTCGTAGAAGTTTTCAAGTAGAATAAAGCAAAATAATTTAGGTAATTTTCAAATGATATATTTTTTGATGAAAATAACACTCACTTAGTTTTTTTGGATTTTCAACCTGAAATAGGTGTTCATAAACGTTAAAAATTAGTTTTTCATGATCAGCAGCTTACACTCTATTAAATCACGGATGAAAAAGCTGAAGAAAAATTCCACTTGAATTTCAAATGACAAACATCTTAATACGTAAAAAAAGATAAGTGTTAGACGGTATTCATTTTGAGGAAGTCAATGCAAATTGCTTTCTAATTTGAAAATAAAATATGAAAAAAATAGATTACAAGCATATTTTTTAAGTTATTTTTCACTGTTTTATTTAGATATAGTTAATGAAAACAATGGTAACCTAATCGTTTTATTAAAAATGTTTTTTTTTTGTTTTGATTGTTTGAAATAATTTAAGGGTACCCCCCCCCCCTCTTTTTTGACCCAAAACTCGATTTTGAGCTGAGCCCAAGATATGATAGCCTTAGGTGCCATGTGCAGCTAGAGACATTATTCGACTCGAAATGTCTTACTTTTACCTATTTATTAGAGCGAGAAAATTTTTTTTTTCATAGTAATCGTATGTAAATTTATTTCTTTTATTTAGCGTTCTGTAAAACAGCGATTTTCTAGATCTTGACACATTACGACCCCCTTTTTAGTTTGTCCGATCGAGCTGAAAATTTCACGACTAATACTTCGAAGTGTTCTCCAGAGGTAAAATCAAGCGTTTTCATTTTTGACGTTCCTGCTCGGAGTTACCGGGTCGTGAAAGTCAAGATCTGAAGCACAAACTCAAAGCTGGGCGTATTTTTCTTATAAAAAAAAAAGAAAGTGAGATTTTTGGAAATCCTTAAATTTACCTCTGGGGAATAGTGTTAGGCATCTATAAACAAAATTTCAGCCCAATCGGACAAACTTTAAGGGGGGTCGTAATGTGTCAAGATGCGAACCTCTGGAAAACCAGAGTTTTCCGGAAAATCCCATAAAAAGTTACTTAAAATTTTTTTTCCTCGGACACATATCTCTTTATTTTTAGTGCTCTATCTGTGCTAAAAATTTCAGCTTGATCGGTTGTACCATCTTCGAGAACCAGCAAGTGTCAAAAAAGAGGGGAGGGGTACCCTTAAAAAGAAGATAATCAAATATTCTCTTTACAATTATCCGAAATCCTTTTATCAGTCTACCAACTAATTTGAAAAAAGTATAATAAGTAATAATAGGATATAATATTTGATTTATTTTAAATGTTATTTTTCTGAAAAACTTTTATTGATCGATGAATCTTGTAATGTTATACTTATTAGATTTCATTTT